TATTTTTTCTTAGGCTATACTTATGTTCGTATATTCTTTTCTTTAGATATTGTCCTGTTTGACCTATGTATGTGTTATCACAATTCAAACAGTCTCTTTTGTAAATTACATTAGGCGTGTCTAACTTGTCAGTCCTATTACGTATTTTACGTCCGAAACTTATTTTAATCGATAAATAGAGAAAACAAATGACTGAAACCCAGGAATTAAGTTTGATTTGGAATAAATTTTAACAAAATGTGTGGAAATGATGGAGAAACCAAGCAAATTGAATGTCCACGGCCTATTTATTTTACAGTTTCTCATACGCTACCGGTATTGTATATTTTTAACGATTAGTTCAGCGTTTCATCGTGTCACTTCTTCCTGAATATATTTCAAGCAACGATTTGTAAACAAACCTACATCCAGCTGTTTCTTGACCAACGCCATTTAGCTTAATTACTCCGACCCTTTTCAAATATCCGTTGTCTTGAATCTTCCGGCAAAGACATTCACTTGGAAGCCCAAAGGATTTGGATAAACTATATTTACTTGCACAATAAATCTTAGTAAGCGATCGAGAAATGGGCAGCGTTTAACCAGAATGCTCAAAATCGCACCACACTCAAGCCGTTACAGAATCCGATCTTGTGTCGGTACTAATGTAACATCCAATAAACATATTAGCAAAGTGGAAATGACTACTCCTTTTGTCTAAAATGGTATTTAGCGCATCAATAGTCTATCAACGCTTCAGTAATTGACTCATGAAAATATTCAACAGTAGAAATGAAGTCTAACATTTTCGTGCAAATTGGGACTATTGGTTTTGTTTTGTTTGTTTGCTTTGGACAGTCGCTTGCTATTTTTATGTTTTGCATCTTGGCTTATATTAATGTAACAAGGTTAAACTGTTATGTACTTTCACTTTGAACAATTAATTTAATTAACTCAAAAAAACGAGTTTGTAAAAAAAGTTACACTTTTGCACCGATCGCTTGCAACTTGTGAGTTTTTTAGTCGCTTAGGAAATCCTGAAAAAGGAATATTTACAGACGTTTTGGAAGCGCAAGTGACTTGCATCTTCAAAGGTGTTTTCAGGAGACAACTTATCTGAACTAAACTTTTTTTTGCGTGAAGTGATGCGAACGGTTCCCAAAAATGGATACCAAAATCTCTACAGATGACCAGTTGATGGTCTTTTCAAGTATCGTAGTAATTTGTATTCCTGTATATTTTCTGTTCAAATGATTCCAAGCTTTGAAAGTATTTCGTCGTTCATCTTGTCAGGACACTTCACTTTTTCAATTTAATGTTATTTTATTGCCTGAACATATTTTTTAGTTGGTTCTGGAAGTTTTTCGTTTAATCAAATGTACATGGGTGACGCAACATCAGTTCACTCATCGTGGAAATAATTTTACTGTATTCACGCCATCCTGGAAGTTTTGTTTTTGTCCCCATAATCATGTTGGCATTATCGTCTTGCACGCTTGGCTCCTTCCGTGTCAGCGATCATTTCTTTTACTTTCCTGTTAAAGTTAAATGTGCCACAATTCCTGAAATAGTTGCATGTTTTGGCAAGCTTCGTACATCAAGGTTTGGTTATATTTTTTGATTAAGCTGCTTGTGTTCTACTTAATTTGTTTTGTGCTTTACTCGTTCAAGGCATCCATGTTTTTCTGTATTATTCATTGTTGCCTTCTGTAATGTCATATTTTAAATTTTTGTTATTCTGGTTTTTAAGGTATGTTATCGAATTTTCTCTGTTTTAGTTGCGTTATTGTTTCCACTTATTGAGCAATATTAAAGCTGGAGAAAGAAACACATTTTTGTGTTTTTCTACTTTTAGGAATCTGCTTTCTATGTCAGTAGTAACTGTTTACTGTAAATGTTTACTTCTGAATACTTTTTCGCTGATTTTTCATACTTGCTAAAGTTCGGATCTAGCAGAATGAAAGCGATTCGATATCAAAATGAATCTTTTTCTGAATAGTAGTTTCAACTAAAATCTACATTTGAAAAAGTTTAACGCTTTAATCAACATTTTAAAGGTGATGCAAATACGAAACCTTTTCAGACGATAATTTAAAAACCTAATACTTTTCTTTTCTTTCCTTAATCAGTGTTCTAATAACTAAAATCTTGTTCAATATGTGTCCTTGCCTGATGAGTTCAGACAGCAAAAATTTTAGTTACAAAATATAAAGCCAGTTTACTTCAAGTTTGCAGTTTAAAGATAACATAATGATAACAACAACAGAATAAACAGCACACTAGGCAAAGAGGAGTAAGTAAGCAGTCACATTCAATGCAATTTTGAGAAAAACTTGGCATAAATTGTTCATCAGCTTTATCTTCAGACAGTTAATATAGAATATTTGGAAAAAAAAGAATGATCTTTTGATTCACTATTTTTTGTTATTAGTATCGCGAAAAAATGTGATATACTGATGTACTTTGTCGTGCCACAAAACATTACATTAAATTTAAAAGGAAACAAGATGAAAAATTTCCTGGCGAATTTGCTTCCAATTATTATTAATGCATTTTAATTATAGAATTCTTTTCAATTTCCAATACATCTTTGTATATCATATGATTTATTACAGAAGCAAACCGTAGGCTCTCTATACCTGAAAAACAAAAATGTAATTAAATTATAATAAAACTTTGTTTTTGTTCTTCAAAAATTGATTTTCTATAAAATCTTGGAAACCAAAAATATAACGATTTTGTCCGTTTTTATTTTAGGAACATTGTAAAAAAATCAGCAATTTCGGTCGTCCCAAAAATTCGGTGTTAGTGAGAGCAAACAAAACAGCTACGGACAAAACGCTACATCAAACATTGCGATTGAAACAGTTATATGCAAAAAATCCATTCAAATGGTGGCCACAACGTCATTAATAATTCGTATCAACAAAAATTGTCGGGGAATGCGGTATTTTTATTTCCACTGTCACATAAATAAGCAAAGTCACTTGAAATGGCGCACGAAAGAGCACGAAAAGAAGAACATATGAATGGGAAAAGACGCCTAAAACAATATTTCCATCATGTAAATAGATCATGTATTCGTACTCTGTGTCAGAAAGAGCACGTTTCGAAAAGGGTCGCAAAGTAGATTTGGACGAATATGACGAGAGCGAATGTGTTCCGAGATGATTTCGAAATTATCTAAAAAAATTGGTTTTGGGGATGGATGTGGCGCTTTTAGGCACATATGGCTTCGACTCGGGCTCTTTTCGCATCTTTCAAATAGCCTTATGAAATAAGTGGATAAATCAAAAAGTTACGGAATGGGAGCTTTGCCATTGTGGCCTTTCAGGATACACTCATTCTCCGGTTAGTTTGAGATGGAAGTCGATGACTATGGGTAAAAGTGGCACATTTGACCAGAAGCTTATGATTCTTTGACAAAATGTATTTAGGGCTCAGTTAAAAAAAATATGCGACTTAAAAAATGACCGACTCAAACGTTAAGCAAGTCATACAAAGCGTTAGAAATAAAACGTGCCGCAATGTATTAGAATTCCAGGTAAATGTGTTTAACTTTTTTATGTGATAAATTTTCCAATTAGTGACATTTTAATTTTATACTTCTCCGAGTTCAATCACTTCTTATTCTCCTCGTGCGACCAAGACCGAGATTTTCCACATCTGGAAAGTTTTCTGGGGTTCAGATATTTTACAACGTTGGTGAGAAAACTGACGACTTAGAAAGAGTAAAGGTTTATTTGC